AGCTTTCCTCTTTTGTCAGACGCCATCAGATTAATTTGAATTCTTTGTAGAATTTTGTGGTATTTAGATCTGGTTTTATTTGTTTATATCTAAGAAGTCTGTTGACGCTCTCAAAAGCCACCTTTTGTACGTAAACATGGAAGGGTGGGAGGTTGAGTGCAGTTTTGCATATATTGCCTACATGTTTTCCCTTTATTTCCAGTCTTTATTTTGAGCTTCCTTCTTTTTGAGAAGGGTATGAGATATGCTTTTTTAGGGTTTATATTCAAACTCTTTTCCTCACACCATCTTCCTATAATATTTAGGGCACTTTGCATTCGATTTGACAAAGTGTCTTCAAATTTCCCTTTTATGATTGTTACCAAATCATCTGCGTAACCTATAGTATGGTATCAGCGATAGTACATGGGTTGTAGATAGGTAGCCCTTGGGGGCAACTTTGTGTGGGTGCTATTTGTATGGTCTGATGATCATGTTCAGCGTTTATTATCCGACTTCTTAGCATTGGTAATATCCAATTTGTAGTCGAGAAATCTATGCCTTTCCTTTGTACAGCCGTTTCATTTGCTTCAAAAAAAAAAAAAAAAAGGAAAAAGCACAGACATACATACTCTCTGACAGGCAGGCAGCCATAAAGGCACTAAATTCATATGCTTTCAACTCCAAACTTGTCTGGGAGTGCCTAAACTGCCTAATGACTTTGGGAAAGCATAGCAAGATAACCTTAAAGTGGGTTCCCTGACTTGAAGGGGTAGAAGGAAATGAACAGGATGACCAACTAGCCAAAAAGGGGCATGCTTAAGTTGGAACAGTTAAAATGGACTGAGAAAGAAAAACTCAAACAATGGAAAAACACTCCGAGCATGGGGGTTCCACTATAGACCTGTTTTTTATGTTTTTAAAGAATTGTCAAGTGGAAATTTTACAAATGTATACGATATATATATATATATATATGTGTGTGTGTGTGTGTGTGTGTGTGTGTGTGTGTGTGTGTACTTCAGAATCGGAGCTTACATCAATTTTTTTTTACTTATCCATAAATCACGGCGGACTCCCGCAAGACAAACGCCTAACGGCCCCAACAGTTTACATACATCACTAGATACTTTAATGCGTTTTTGGTTGTATAAGGTCAAGTTTATCGTTCAAGTATTTAAGACCTATATGAAACCCTGGATTTTGAGTTTGTCAGATGACAAAGTTTCCAAGGGAAATTTCCACCAAAGGCTTTATCCGAGACCTTGAACGTGAACACGGACACTTTACGTAATTTTGAAAAGTCGTTAATTACCTAACAAAGTTATCGCTGTGTTTAAAAGTCAAAGACGATTAACTAACGAGATTTTTTAAAGTTTATACTGTCCTTGGTCGCAAATAAACAACGCGCCAATTCTTAAAGCACAATTATAAAATTGCAAATGCAACAGGTTTTTCAATTTCACCAGAGAAAAGACAGTTACTGCAAAGTTTAATATACGCACTGGCCGTTTAACCTTACACCACCTATTCTTATGACGTTGATCGTTTTTAATTGTGCGACTCATTTTTCCTAAGGGAACAATAATAAAAGACTAAGGCATAAGGGAATATTGCGTAATTCCGGTTCTTTTCTCGGACCATTTGTATTGTGTCTTTGTCATCAGCGAATTGGTGGGATCGAATTGTCACAGAAAAGAGTCACGAGAAATTTTCTGATTTTGTTCCAAATAAATATTTAGAAACATATACTTTAAGCATTAAAAATGCTTGTTGTTATTAGTCTTAATAAAATATTAAGTAAGTCTTATTTAATACGCCACATGAAAACAGTTTTCAATACATTCGATAATTTTGACGATACAGATAGGAAGAGCTTACAATTGATAGGCAAAAGCTTAATACCATATTTCACAAACAAAAAAATTAATAGCACTTCTTTATGTATGGTTATATAACATAAATAATTTTTTCGAAGAAATTCATTTACCCCCAATTCCTGATCTAATCGTTAGTACTGATATCATTATAATCCTAAAGCACTAAATTACAAAGTAGTGAATTTCAGATAAAATAATACTTTACGTCAATGGATTTTTAATATTTTTCACAGGAGTAACATAATTACAGTAAATAAATATATTATTTACATTATGAACTAGATGGCTTCGTTATTTCTTCACGAAGAGTGATGATACTCCAATATTTTTATTGCTCACTTTTTACCACCAAGATATAGTCGATACCTTTTGTATTTTCTATTAGGACTATTTATAAGTAAGGAGGATGTAAGTTCGGTTACAGGGATATTATTATGGGTTAAAAGGGATTGGGGAATTGAAGGTATCTCTTTCGCACCAAGTCATGGCCGAAACAAGTATTGAGGAAGCTGTTGATACAAGATTGGCTAAGAAAGGAGACTTTTTTTTTAGGATTGTTGGTTTGGATTCTAGGATATTGGAGATTTAGTTAAACCGCAAAATAATTGCTTTAGTGCAGTATTGTATTTGTTAGTCATGACAGTTTAAACCGCCGGCCAAGTAAGTATTGTCGAGTCCAAATCGTTTTACTCAGGTGTGGGACGGTTCCATCCCTATAACATAATTCTATTCTAGTTTATAGTCGAAGGCAATAAAGGAGTGGTTCATGTAAAGATGAGTGATCCGTTGAGATAAAAACGTTAAAGATTAATGATAGACCTTTCTCTTTTATCTTTATCATCCATTTTTAAACCAGTCCATCTAGAAATGAAATGTAGGTTTGAAGATTCTGTGGGAGATGGTAGAATCATATTGGGGGGAGGAAAGGATGGCACCATCAGACTATGTGGATTTAACAGTTGGAGATGTGGGGATATCATGGGAGAAATTGTGTAAATGATGGGGCCTGAGATACTTCTCTGATTCACTAGTGTTATCAGGAAGATGAGATAGAGGGGCCTTGTAAATCTGAAAATTTTTGTTAGAAAAATGGGATTTGAGAGGGTAAGATATTAGGTATTGAGAAATAACAGTCCATCCATCTATATTTCACCTAGCGCTCGCACAATGTAAGGAATATGCCGCCGCAGCATTCTTTTAGCTCAAAAAAGGAGGTTATGATTTGTATAACCCGTTACAGCTGTGTAGTGAGTCTAGGGTTACTGGCCGTCCAATTGTTTAAAAAAAATATATTTTACTTTATATAGGGTATCTATGAAAAATGTTGCTTTTAAAAATGAAAGAGGGGTTATAATTTCGACAAGTGCGTAAAAGATTTCTTGAAAATTTGATTGCAATTGCAGTTAATCGAGTCTCCTTCCTTGCGTCTGAAACCGTACTTCCTCATATTATAATGTTACCATATTAAGTATTATTAAGTATCAATTATCGTTATAAATAATATTCATACCGAATCGTTATATAATTTTGAAGGATGATCATCATTATATAGGAGGTAATATTTCATATACTCGATGTATAAAAGATTTAATCTACAATCAAAATCATTGATATAAATCATAATTTATAACAATACACTATACAATAATTATTTAGAAATCGTAAGATGCGGTCTGGTGTGATGTAGGTTTCAGAAAACATTTTCTTTATCGTGCCACGTTTCAATCTTTATTGAGATCATCTTCAGGGCTCAATAAAGATCGAAACGTTGGCACTATAAAGAAAATGTTTTTCTGAAACCTACATCACACCAGACCGCATCTCACGATTTCTAAATAATTATCGATGAACGGTCACTAATCACCACACACACTATACAATATTTAGAAATGGGAGACCAACAATGGTTGGCGACTCCCCTCAAGACATGATATACAGTGTATATTGTAAATATGTAAATAAGCTCAAATTACGAGTTGTATATTTTATAAATACAAGTAGTAATAAAAATAAAAAACAAAAAAATATTTAGAAAACCATAGTTATATACCGATTGAACAAAATGAAAAAAACTGTAAATAATTGAACCTGCACTTATTGACTAGGGTCCAAATTAAGTCGTATAATGAAACAACTGCAACTCGTATTTGACTATTCTACGTTAGTTATGAAAAACTAATAGAATAACTAACAAATATACTTTACAAATCTGCATAAGTCTGCAAGGAATATTATCTCATTCATTAAAAATCTGTTCAGCCATTCAGGCGCTATGTTCTTCACAAAACTGAACAACACATTTTGATGGAAATTTTAGCCTTCCAAATCTTAGAAGTTCAAAAGTCATTCGACAACAATAGTTTGCAGGTTACAAAACAATACCTAAGAAAGACAGGTTAAAAACACCTCATAGAAAACAATCATAAATTCTCAACCGCAGTAAATGTCGACAACTTCAGACGGTAAACTTATGAAGACACAATAACAACTCACATATCATTTACAACGTTCACAACACTAAACATATAATTAACAAAAAGAAATGTCATTCAGAAAAACCGGCCAGAACAGACGATACTAAATTTAAGATTTAATCTATCATTGATGCTGGCGGAGGGACAACACCGACAAATGATTTCACCATTCAAAAAAGAATAAAAGTAGCTCTACTAAGAAAAATAACATGCAAGCCTACCAAGGAATAGAGAAACAACAGGCCAAACACGAGAGATAAGGATGACCATTAGGACGGAGACGTACAAGTATGGGTTGATACTTGATCACGCCTCACTTGTCAGACCTCAATAAAATTCAATAGAAACAATTAAAGCTAGGTTGTTTTATTAAACAAAAGTTAAAAAATAAAGAAACCCTGTCCATTCAATTTAATAAGAATGTATTTACTCTTGTCCACCCGATGTCTGTTCCATTGCACAAAAATCGACTTACACGCACTAAAAAGATATGTTTTATTTTATCATTTTTGAAAACATTCCTTAAGTTATTTGATATTTGACGAAAAGAGCCCCAAAGCCTTATCAGTGGCGGTTTCGTGCTCGAAAAAGTTGATAATTTGAGGTGAGAGTGAAAGAGAGTGGGGGCCCCGGGGACCTTGGCGTGGATGTAAATCACCTGTACACCGACAACACTATACTCACTGTACTGTCTCCGAGCAGTCGGCCAGCAACTGTGAGCTACCGCGCACGTTCAGTGAAAAAGTGCATTTACAAAAAGAAAGGGAAAAACGAAGTGTGTTTTGTTATTTTTTCTGGATTGGATTAAAAATTTCTGAACACTAAAAGGTAAAGATTTTTATTTTGTTTTATGGTCGGGTCGATAGGCGAGTCAAGGTATTTTACTGCGGTTTGATTCCAACCGACTGACCAGTACCGTCATTCAAAAATTAATTTGTTTTTAAAGGTTTTGGTTAATTAGCACTAAAAACTAGTTCTGGTTACTTGATTGTCACTGTCGGATGATGTCGATATTGAACAAGTTAGACAAACGTATACTTATTTAATTGTTATGTGTTAATAATACCACGCGTGGTACACTCGATTTTCTAAATAAAACTTAGAAGTCATAGCACATACTATAAAATACAAAAAAAACTAACCGTATTAACAATAAGTTAATCATATATTAATAATTTTGAATTTAAATAAATACAGATCGCGTTGAGCATGAGTTCGAATCTGCGCTTGAAACACATCTTCCTGGTCCTATTATTCTCGTTGTTTTTGTATGTCAAATTGGACAAAAAATACAGAAAAAGCACGTATAACAAGAAAAAGAAGATAAGAACAATTTGATTCTTTAAAAAACTTATTGGTATATTTTTATAATGAGAATTAAAACTATGAAATTGTGATATATGCCGATGAGGATTTTGAATCTTCGCTTGGTCGTCTCAAATCTTCCTGGTCCGCCCATTCTCGCTGCTTTTCTAATTTATAGTGAATAATACAAACAGAAAAAACGATTATATACGTGAGAAACACAAAGTAAATAAGAACAATTGTACTATTAAAAAAGGATTCGTACATTTTTTTTCGTAACAATTGTAATAGTTATATTTTTGGCCAGGGATAAAAATGACCATTAAAATAAACATGTTTAAATAAAACTTCAATATAAACGTATAAAAAAAATCATATTCAGCCTAGAACTAATTCAATTAAATAGATCAAATTACAATAAAAACAAATATAATCGGTTATTTTAAAATTTTCACTCAATTCATTTGAATTCGATACCTGCAAACGTTTATTAATAAACATATTAACAATAGCAAAATACCTGTAATTTGATTTTTACCTATCATTTTAGTCTGCCTACCCTCAGAAATCAGTGTGTCAGCAAAGAGAATCTCTCTAATTTTGTTACAGAAACATAAGAAGATAGCGATATGTCAAAACACGTCTGACAGATCAACGCAGGTAGAATAAGCAGGCCAAAATAATTGAACGACCAAATCTCCAATTTTTTGTCAAAGAACCCCAATTTTGATAGTTTCTCAAGCAATTTTGGTCCGCTGCTCATTTTTTGCATTTCCACGTGTTTCGTCACTTTACTATGTGTTCTGTCGCAAAAGTTGGACGTTTACCGTCAGGCATTAAAAAACTAACAATGATTTTAAAAGTTTATTTATTTGGGCCCCCTAGGCTCAAAGTCTTTTAATATACAATTTGTTCGATTTTCTTTTGGAGTCTACGGAATGATGAACCTGTAGTTGGGTGGTATACAATCATTTTGGTCTGCCTATCCTATCATTTTTGATTTGTCCGACGCGTTTTGGCGTCTCACTAACCAATTTTCTACGAAATAAATTAAGAAATCTTTGTAACTGCGAAATTTTGCCCCATAGGCATTCAAGCTTGTAAATATTTTTTTGCATGCGCCCATTTTTACTGAATACACATTCTGATTTTTAATCAACCAATTTAGTGCAACAATCAAATTATGAAAATTATCCAAGAAGAAAAATAAAAAAGGCATGAACTACCCTGGTTTGCTACGATTTTATTATCTGACGTTATCCTTATCGGCTGGCACCTCAGAATCGGAGTTGCTCAGCAACCCTAATTGCTTTATCGTGGAAGATCTGGTAGAAGGCTCATCGGATAACCGGATTTTTCCTAATTCCCTACATTCTAGAACTCCTACGACCCACTGCCGTTTTCTTTTTTGGTGATTCGATTCCCTGGGATCTTCCGAGAATAAAGAGACAACGTGTTGAATTTCAACAGAATATTGGCGACTGTCCACCCTCTCAGCTCAATTCGACGAATTTCAACGATGGAATTGTCGACACCCGGACTGACAACTACCCCTATAACTGAGGACGCGGCGAAACAGATTTACATATCCAAATCTAGATCAGTTTGGTTTTCCTAGGATAGCTTCAATTTAGAAAATTTTCATAGTAAATCGTCATTATGGCGTAAATCGGGATAAAAGTGAATAATACAATAATCCGCTGTTCGATTAGACATTTTATACACATTTATTAATCTATTTCATTTAAATTACATTAGACATTAGAAAAATTCAAAGAAAAATATCAACAAAAAGCTAAATGTTATTAACAAAATAAATAAAATGCTAACAGTTATATTAATAATGTAATTTTTTTTGTTTATTGTTTTTAAAATGATCGTAATTTTCCATCTAATGGAAACAGGAAAGAAAATACTAGAAAAAATCGTTATCTGTGTCTTTATATTTTTGTGGTTTATAATAACGTAAATTCGAAGTTACGCAGTTTTTAAACAAGTCGAATACACTAAGTGTACATAATTAAAATGCTAGTTAATCTACTGTGAGTTTGTCGTTCATAATGTTTAAATGCATTTCATGACCAATTTAACCTGGCTTTGTTAATTAGTTAAATAAGCCTAGTTTGTCTCTACAGGTCGTCAAAACTAGTTCCCTGTTCTGATGAAGAGTGATGGACTTGTAAGTAGCTTGATCCCAGGCGTGTGCCTTCTCGTTGGATCGATTCCAGAAGTAAGGATAGTAACGGGAATAGTTATTTGTTTACTGTCAGTTGTCAGAATTTGGATAAAGTTTTAGGATTACACTGCTATGATACTCAAATATATACCTTTAAATACATCCGATTCTTTTCGAACAACACAAATAATGATAATTTGGTATGAACCTGGTGATTCACTAGCAACTTTAAAGGTTTTTAAGACTATTTAAACTACATGAAATCATGCAAACTTGATATCCGTAAGTAATTTAAAACCGTTGTTATAAACTAAAAATCTCAGGTTTTTTAGTTGATATCCTCCTTATTGTTCGCACGTAAAATGACAAACAATGTACAGTTTTCTGGCGTAAACTGATACGAAATAAATTAATTTTCAAACTATTTTAATAAAAACGAATTTGTATAAAATCCAGAAATGATATGAATTTTTAAATGGAATACTGGCAACACGGATTCTGTAAATGCTAAAACATTCAACAGTTTGATACAAGAGATCAAATAAAAAATCACTCGATATGTCGTAATATAAACAAAATTTATTGTTGTAATTTTCAAACAGACAATTACAATCGAACTTCAATTTTAATATTTTTTATTCCTAATACTCTTGTGACACTTTACAAACAAATCAATTCAAAAAACAATTAAACACATTTGATAAAATACGATAATCAATATTTTCCTTAAAATAAACAACAATATACTCAATACACTTTTTTAACGGACAGTATTCAATTATATTACGTACACAGTAGATATTGGGCTGATTGATTTATTTATTAATACCACTAAGTGCGTAAAAATTAGCTTAATCAGTTATTACCTCCAACTGTTAAAACGATTTCTTTTCTAAGTAGATTCATTCGTAGCCAATTTTTTTATTTGGACAATAAGTACTTGGAAAACAGGCGGGCTCAAACATTTTCTTCGCAGTAATTGAAATGTCGCAATATGATTACAGTCGAGCCGTTTCTCAAGCTCAAGCCCTTGCGATAAGGTCCGGAAGGAGTCCTGCTCCATTTAGCCCAAGTCATTTTTCGTATTCAAATGCCGGCAATCGCACAGGTACCTCCGAAAGTGAAAAAGTAACCGGGCCAAAAGACTGGACTGTCGAGAATTGAATGTTCACGGAAACGAAAAGCAGTTTGACGTATACAAACAAAAAAGTTGTTAGAAAACGTGACAAATAATAAGGAAAGAAATGCTAAATTATGAGATAATCTCTCGGTCATGCATTAGAATGGAAAGTTTCATCCTGCAAAACATCACTTAGCAGTACACGCTATTCTGACGCAACAAAAACATGGACAAAGAATGAGCTATGCTCATACTGAAAACAGAAGAAATTGATAATAATACTATGTGCCTGATATTTACCTTAAGAACAATCTTTAAAAACAGGTGAAAAAGAGTAAAAGCACTATCACTAAGCCATGACAAATATTTTAAAAATATCTGTATCATATCAAAAAGGAAGTTTAGCCACAGCGTAGTGAATTTTAAAAAATTTTCAAAGTCCTTCTAATGTTTCAATTTTACAGATTTTTGATACAGAAAGTAAGATGTCTTATTCTTTAAACAATTTAACGTAAATTTTAAAAACGACATCAATTTTGATTAAAAATGCTTACTTAACGGATCTGTTCCGCAGATCCGTTTTTTCCGAAAAATTTTGGACTGAAAGGGTTCAGCAGATTATTCAATTGAGACAATTTTGACGAAACGATAACGAAGAAATGTTGTTTTCCCGAAAATAAAAGTACAAGTCTTATCTTTTCGATGGTGTTACTAAGTAAACCCAGTTTTTGCGGCATTCTTCTTCATTTATAGAGTACTATCACCCAATTAGTTTGTTTATTTTCATCTAATTGCCCACCATGTAAAGATTTTATTACATATTTTACGAATTTTCGAACTATTAAAAAAGTATTTTTATGACTGCTAATCGAATTTAAAATCACCTATTATGATTTTAGTTTTATCTCCTTTGCTATCAGATAAGAGAGACAAACAGAAAAAAATGAATTTATTTGCTTATACATTAATACATTATTTTGGGAAATAAAAGTTAAATGATAATGCAGAACAAAATAATATAATGTAAAATCAACAGCTTGCACTCAGTAAGTTTAACGTGTGCACGTAATTATTTTTATCATCAAAAACCCTTGATGTAAATTCAGAAGCCTCAAAAAGTGAATGATCTACAGATTTACTGATTGAAATCCAAATTGGGTTCGGGTAATTATTTCATTATCAGAAATAAAATAAAAAAACGTTTTTCCATTGTTTCCAAAATTGTAA